ATAAGTTGTCAGGTTTCCTACTTAAGTTTTCTGAGTGATATAATTGGAATTAAATTATTAATGGGAGATACTTTTAGAAAGATTGTTTTATGATCTTCTATTAGGGAATTTGCAATTCATTTTAATATTTGTAGTTTGATTTATATTAAAGATAATGCAATCTATGTCCAATTAACAATACATGGCCAATGTAATGTGATTTCCAGATCATGCAAATGGAATAAGCTAGAAGATGGGGGAAAACTCAATTCTTAACCTCAGATGTAATTTGCTGTGCGAGTTCTGGCAATTTTAAATGACATTGCACTTTTTAATTTTTCCAAAGGCTCAGCAGCAAATTTATCCCAATCAGGAAAGCCTATTATTAATTTACAAGGACAATTGTAGGAGTCTTTATAATTTCTCTGTGCAATTATTCGCCATAAATCGCTAATGGTAAAACACAAGGAGTTTGCAAGAAATAACGACCGTTATTTGTCTTGGGCTTGAACCCTCGTCCTCAGTCTTGAACACCTTCCCGAAGTGTGGGTGATATTAGCTCCATGTGAAACATCACATGCTTTGTGAGGTGCTGGACGCTGGTGTTCTGAAAAGGGGGCAGGATAAGAGCTGCTGCAAAGGCGACACTGGCCTCTAGCAGATCCCTGCACTCGGCATGTACAGCTGAGCTGTGGATCCTGGACTTTCATATAAAAAGACTCTTTGTTCCCCACTGAATGGCATTAGGCATGGACTTGCTGAGGGGCCACCATGAAGCCTCACATGAGGAGGGCAAACACTAGCTAGAAAACACAATATCAGTCATAGACAGAGACATCCCTGCATTTTGGTGCAAAAATACATATTTTCACACACGATTTTGCCAGTAGTTTGGGCATGGTGTGTTCCTAGCATATGCTTTCTTGTTGATAAACCAAAACACATTTTATTTTCTCTGTCTGCCTATCTCTCTATCTTTTATGTGTTTATGGGAAAGTGGATTATGCTGAATATATAGGTGTTTGTGGTATTACTTTGTACTGGGAAAGATATTCAAATATCTTTATTATTATATCTGTCATTCTAATCACTAGATCACTTTCCCTGCTTTAACTCTCCCTGATATAAAGTTACAGAAAGCCCAGTTAAAATATAGTATAAGATGTAAATACTCAAATCCCGAAGACACAGAATCTGACAGCCCTAGTCTAATAATGGAGAAAATTCTTTGGTTAAAGTCTTGTGTTTCTCGTAGCCAAAACTTCACTCTCCGCTCAGCAATGTCTGGTCTCTTTTCAGCATAACCAACAGAAGCACCATACAAAAGTCTTACAATGGATGTCTTAATCTCTCTGTGTGCTTTTAGAGCATTATTTTGAATTCCATCATGCTGCCTTTTTTCTTTCCTCTTCTGAAGTTTTATTACAACAGCAGAATTCCCAGGGAGCTTTGGGGGCAAGGTTCACATAATATAGCCCTGAAGTTTTGCTTAGGTGGAATCTATCCCCCGGTCCTGGCCATCTTTTGATGATCTTTCTATTTCAAAAAGATTCACTGGGTAGAGTCTTCCAGCATTTGCTGTAGGTAGTTTATTTTTTATTTTTTTATTTACTAGACAGTGAGCATCTATAACCCTTTCATGATGCTTTCTTTCTCTGACCTCACAGTGACAAGGCATCTTGTTCTTTAACATTGAGGGAGGCAGGAAAATGCTTGAGTTGCTCAATGTGTGCCTTCTATACCAGTTTCAAAATGGCTTATTCTTCTGGTTTCCATGGTGACAATTAACACTGTTTCAAGGCATTGTTCCAGTCTCCATTTGGGTAGAATTTTCGGTGTGATTTTTAACAACAAAAAAAAAGGTTTTAAGAGGGAAAAAAGCCTTTAGCATAACTGTCAAAAAAGTTATCTCAATCAAGTCTTCATGCATTTCTAATTATATTTACTTCAGAAATCCCTGTTTTTGCTGGCTTTGTTTTATAATTCAATTTTGGCATTTGTGCTTTTAAAAGTACCGAGAAAGAATTTTCTAAAAACTTCTTTAATACTTAGTTACAACAGTGAGCTAGTGTTTGTGGTTATTTTTAACTGTTTTTTTTTTTTTTTAAGTTTTCTTTATACATTCTATATCTACACAGAAGTGGCATTTAGAATAAGAGTGGCCCTGTGTCTTTAATTTAGATCATTCGCATATCTATTAGGAGGCTTCATTAGTCAAAATTGAATTGGCCAAGCAAATACACTTAATAATGTAAATATGCCCTTTCAATAGAATATATTTTATCTCTGACTAGACAGAGAAGTCCACCGCAGGTGCTATGGGGAAATTAAATACAGGATGCATATTATTTACCTTAGCACTCGAGAAAAGCCATCTGACTTTAACTTTGCTCCTCTCATTCTGGCTGGTGAGGAGGAGTCTGTGTCCTAACATCCACAGACTAAGGACACAGTGGGGCAGCCTCCACGCACGTGCTGCGGTGGGTGAAATTAATATGAAGATTAAACTATCTTCTCACCACAGGACAAAGTAGCTCTACTTGACAGGACGCCCAAGAACTCCTAGAGCTGACAGTTGGTTCTCCCTGCCTAGAATTTCCGAAATGAGAGAGATAGAAGAGCAAAACCATACCAGCATCGACAAACACGTAACCCCGCGGGCAGTATTACACATGCAGCTGAAGGCCCTAAATCATATCTGATTCAACTCCCAGAATGCTTCAAATATTAAATATTTTCACCTTAAATTACATGACATCCTAGTACCTTTCATACACGTGTACCGGTATGTGTAACAATTAGCTGGATTCTCCTGGCTTTCATCGTTTGAAGGCAATTGTCCATCAATCCCGTCTTTCATCAAGCTGTTTGTACAGTAGGTTACATGGTGACAAAGACAGAGAGCATACATAAGACACTTTTTAAAAGGTAATAACCTTTTATAATAGCTGTTGCCGTGACTACTTGTACCACATTTCCCAGGGAAAATTATTTTATGTCTAAAATGAAATTAATTGCTTTTTGTATTTTTATTATTACAAGACTGTCATGTTTATGGGACACATCTAAACTGTTCTCTTTCTTGATTGATCTGCCGTGTAGGAGCCGTTCAAAGTTGGGGTAGAGAGTGGGGGATGAGCTTGGCACAGGGGAATGTGATAACCGGTCCAGGCTGCTCCCAGGTGGCCCAGCCGGAGGCCTCCCTCCGCCCACTGATGCATGTGGCATAAGCTAAATATGAATAGGGTTCTTCTGCCTGCCTGAAATGCTGGTTCCCCCAGTATTAGGCCAAAGAAGTCTTATCAAATTAACTATGTAAATCTTTGTCAGCAACTTCATCTTTGGATGGGTATCTGATTACATGAAGCAGATGGCCCTCTCCTCCAGTCATCACTGACAAATAAAACACCATGGAGGTAGTTTTGCAGAACACTTGTTGTGTTGGGTCGAGCATTCTCAAGTGGACATTGTGTTTTCTAAGTGTCCAAGTAATGTGGTCCTGGTAATTGTCTGCCACTAGAAGGTGCAGTCAGAATTCCCCGTGTATCACAGGCCAAATTCTGAAGCGATGCTCCATTTTTTTCATCATTCATATTCATGTAATTTTAGAGACTGACACCTCGCTCAGCATTTGTTAATACTATGAAATGCTTTAAACCACCTTATTTAAACAATTTTGTTCTGCAATCCACAAATGACTAACATTTGGGGAAGTTTGCATAATACAAATAACGTGCATGTTTAGTGCAAACGAAAGATTAAAATATGAAACTAAAAGTATGCAAACATTTGCATGCAACTGCTGAGGATCGATTAACCGAAACAGAGATTTCACACCTTCTTTTTCTTTAAGCTGTTTCCAATTGTATTTAAGTTGGGATCTTACATAATATCATGTTTTCAAGGTAAATAAAATCACCCAAGTGCTCGGGCATGTTTTGAACTTGTTCATTTGCTACTGTGCTCAGACAGAAGCTTTTCTTACCACGTCTGATCGAATGCTCACCTTAGCTCAGGGAAGTGGAGCAGTACTATCAGCAACCTCGTGACCTGACTTTTCTGCCTTGATGAAAGAGATTTGGGGATTACCATTATATTTTAGAAATGTGTTAAAATTATAAAATAGGTTTAATATTTTAACCCAAATCTAGTTTTTCTTCTTAGAGATGTTTTTATGTATACTTTTAACATCTACAACCAGTCATTTATAGCTGTTCATGATATAGGACTTTCTAACGATGAAGTTATCCAAATAGTTATTTGAAGAGAATCACCATAGTAACTGTTATGTTAAGTAGCACCTATATTATCTGTAGCAAACATCTTTTAGGAGAGACTCGCTAGGCAGTGTGTTATAATGCAGTGTACGGTGGGGGAGAAGGTTCTGTAGTCAGTTGTGATGTTTGAGAACATTTTACAGTACTCAGTAAGGAAGCATAGATTTGTAACCACTCTTAAATCACTGGTTTTCTTTTCCTCTCTTTATGTACCTCTTCTCCAAGCCCACACAGTGTTTTTAAGTAAAAGAAAAATGAAGGAAAAAAAAAAACTAACTGAGACTTCAGAGAACTTACAGAATAAGGAGGAAGTCAGACAATCTTTAGGGATCATTTTATTTGTACCTTTGGGGGCAGAGATGACAGATGGGCAGCACGCTGGAGCCAAATGTTGACCGAAATTAACTGAATATTAACTCCCCTTAGACCATGAATTTTCCTATTTGGAATATTTTAAATTAAAGATCAAATGTGTGTGTGAACTTTAGTTTAAAAAGACATAAATCTTAGTCAACCAAATGGAATACCTTGGATGTTCGTGTATGTGTGAGTAACATATGTATATGTTTTAACTATCTTCGGCAATATTCCTCCACTACTCAAGTCACTTAGATTTTGTCGCCTCATAAATATGATTGGAAACAAAAACTTTTAACACCCATGAGCATCACTAACACTGCACTTAAAGGGTTTTTAAGAACACCTCTCTCCCTAACGATGTGTCTTCCTCTCTTCTTGTTTCAGCGATACAGTGTGGAAATGTCCATCAGGGATCTGAAAAAGACAGAGCTGCTTAGTAAGGTGGAAGCTTTGAAGAAAGGTGGCGTTTCACTACCAAACGATCTCCTTGAAAAAGTGGATTCAATTAATGAAAAATGGGAACTGCTTGGGGTATTTGCATTTTTATTACTGTTTGTAGGTTATGTGTACATTTTTTGTGTAGTGAAGTACTCTGTCTGTTTGATTTCTAATTTGAGGCACAAATATCCCTCTCTTTCAATTCACCACCTACATTTCAAGCAAGCTATTCATGCTATTATGGGTGAAAAACACCGCTTTTCCTCTTCTGTTGGTTTTTTTTCCTACTCTCAGCTTGTCTCCTCTCAGATTTTAATAATTTTGGTTCTTTAATACACAAAAAAGTAAGTAAAATATGCCATGTATTATGGGTATGCACCAAGTCAACTATAATATAGTATATCTGATATACACTGGCTGTCATGCTCGAATGATTGTTAATAGAATTTATTCTGAAGGTACATGTTAGAGACATCCACTGTTTAACTCTTTACTGTACCCTTCCCATGACAAGTGGAGTTGCCACTACAGCTTTCAAGTCACACCAGAGCCACCAAAATAAAGATGCAAATTTGACCCAAATCTGAATTGCAGAATTAAATTGGTCTCTGGTTTGTGCCTCAATTTCTAGCTCGCTTTTAACAAAAGCCAAAAAAAAAAAAAAGTTTCATGTAATTCATTTCACGCAATGATGGGCTGGGTCTCAGCCAAAGACTGAGATGCAAGAATCTGGCAAAAAGGCAATCTCGAGATTCTGTTACCCAGAGACCAGGATGGCACTGTGCGGGAGACAGTCCTGGCCTTTTGTTGGAAGACAGCTGAGAGAGAGAGGTTAAACTGTATTTTTTCATCAACTTCTCTCCTAAATTGCCTTCACTTCAAATCAAGGGTAAGCTAAATTTGTCAATTACTTAAATGATTAATTATAATAGCAAAGTATGGGTGGTGTCAGTTATGGAGCCTAATTTTGCATGCCTTCCATTTCCTGCCTTTTTTTTTTTTTTCTTCAATTTTTAAAGAAATAATACTCCAAAAATATTTTGAATAAAAAGCTCTCCATGCACCTTGATGACTTGGAGGAACGCCAGGGCTCTGTTGCTGCCCTGCTTAATCTAGGTGATTAAAACACTGCAAGTTTAATCCTTGCTTTCTCATCTGAATTCACCACACTCTGCGGCGGTGTAAAGTAACTTAAAACGTTCAAAGTTTCTACTCTGACCTATTGTTGCATCACTTTTTAATAGTAATTAATGGCTTTCACATTGTAATACGGTGATTTAAATCGGAACCTACTAAATTCTGCAGAATTCGCTGATCTCCTGCAGGAGAAATGTGGTTAGTGTATGACATCTCAAAAGTTGTTTACCAAACGAGGGCAGCAACTTTAAGTGCCTGATAGATAACGTGATGTCTGTTTATATAGACACAGAACTATATCTGTTTCTAATTTGATAACTAACAATACTCTTTTTTTGAAAATTGTTTGAAGTATAGCATGTATATTGCTTTCCCAACAAAAAATTTAAATCAACACAACATTCACAAAACAGGATATGGAAGTTATCCTTTTCTGAGTCGGACACCTTAAAAGCGGTTGCCATTTCGATAAAAATATCATTTGGATACAACATGCCGAGTTGTGTCCTGAGCTAGGGAGAGAGCAGGGCGGGTGAACAAAACCTGCTCCACACGAACACCACCAGGCACGCCGCTTTAATTGGCATGATTACATTTTAATTGGCGTGAAAAAAAATTTAAAGACAAGGATTTTAACTTCTAACAATAGTAAAATAGAGGGATATGGTTTTTAATATTACTTTCATCTAAGGTGAACAGTGTGGAATGGAAATACATTAGAATGAAATGTCAGTGGTGCGTACAGTTTAATCTGTGAAATTTTGTCCCCTGTGCTGCATATTACTCTGTCTCAATTGCATATTAAACAACCCTATCAAGGCAGGCATTGGCATCTGCTGTGCTGACACAAATTGTGAATTAAATGAAATTGATGTCCTCTGTCGTATATTTATGAAGACGGACCATTCTCTGAAGTATTCTGTTTATGAAGAATTTATGATTGCAAACTGTTCCAGAGCAAAAAAGTGGCAATAAATTCTTTTTTGTGACCCTACCCTCCAAGGGCATTGATTTCACCTCCTGCTGCTACTTTTGTTACAGCATAAAAACAATAGCTAAATCTGGATTCCACTGAGGGTCTTCAAATTATCAATATTTGCACCACGAAAGTAGAAGGGTGCTGGCAAGAAGGGCTATTTTTCTGTTACTATCTCCTAAAGATGCTATTTACAGAACACTACACAGCAGATGAATGTTTGTTGACTTAATTTTATTTGTGTTTTAAAGCTTATTTTTTAGGTTTAATTCATCACTGTAGATGAACTCCTACTGATTCTCCAAAGAGAGTGTTTTGCACAAGAACAATAAAAGCCCTCCCTGACCACACCTTCATGACATAATAGTTAATCTAAGAAGGCTTCTAGCATAGTGGATTGGGACTCATTTTAACACGTATATTGGACAGTCTGGCATCCACAAATGCAAAATGGGAAAAATTGTGGGGTTGAATGATTTCCAAGTCAGGTAAAATGAACAACAGCTCCAAGAAGTTTACCCCTTCTTAACAGCCCTCAGTCATATGGTTTGGAGAATTGTACTAAACAAAACAGAGAAGGAATTTAATTCTTCATGCACAATCTTCTCCTGGCCTCTTTAGTGTATGTCATGATTAAACTCAGACGTCTATCTCCTGAAAATGTTATGCAGAGAATTTTTTACTCTAAACTCCCATCATGAGAATTCAAATGGATTTTTATCAGTGACCATGGTGAACGTTGGGGTCAAATCTCCTTTCTGTTCAAGGAAACTGTAAATGAATGAGGTCTTCTTAAGCCTCTAGTGGTAGTCAGACCAACACACATGGCTCAAGAATTCAAATCCTGAGCTCATCTGAACTGAAGGTTAGTCATGAAGTGGCAGGTATGGCTGGACACCTTCCAGGGGGTTCCTGTCGCCAGCCAAATTGTGATGTGTTTTGGGTACCTAAGCTAATCTATGTTTTTACTGTTGTGGGTGTTTTTTGCTTTTGTGTTTGTTTTTAATTTGATGCATTAGAAAACCCTGGGAGAGAAGATGCAGGACACAATAGCGGGGCACAGCGGGGCGGGGCCGCGAGACCTGCTCTCCCCAGAAAGCGGAAGCCTGGTAAGGCAGCTGGAGGGCAGGATCAAGGAACTGAAGGGGTGGCTGAGAGACACAGAGCTTTTCATCTTCAACTCCTGTCTGAGACAAGGAAAGGAAGGAACAATGAACGCCGAGAAGCAACTGCAATACTTTAAGGTAATAAAAAAACAATCAAAGTTGATAAAAAGCTTTCTTTATGGTAGGGATGAAATATTTATCAAGTACATAAAGTATTATACCCGTGAATCTATGTATCACTGTGCGCTTAAATGTTTCCTTGGATTTATAGACACCCTCCACATGTCTTACAGGCCAACGCCTGTGCGTGCAAAGATGAACTCTGGGCGTATCGAGTCCACCCTGGGCAGGAGGGCGCTGCTGCGGTGCGGTGCGGGGCCTGTGGGGGGAGGGCTTGGATAAATTAAAAGCAGACCAGCAGGGCCTGTGGTCCAGAGAGACCCGGGTTCGGTTCCCGCTAAGGGCGTGTACCTAGGTGGCAGTTTGTCCCCTGGCCCTGGTTGGTGGCCACTCGATGTGTCCCTTTCACGTCGATGTTTCTCTCTCTCTCTCTCTCTCTTCCTCTCTCTCCCTCCCACTCTATCGGAACAAAAAAATAAAAAAGTGTCCCTCGGGTGAGGATGAAAAAAAGAAAAAGCAGACCAGGAAACACTAAAGAGGACAACTTTGAAAGGCAGACCTAAATGTTCAATAAATAATATGGCTAAGAATGCTTCCCTAAATTGATATGCTAAGAGCATGTGATCTAACTGAAGAGTGTTAATGCTAACAATGGGAAACATCATTTTTACATAGGAAACAATCAACCGTTCATGGAGGGAAGAAAGGAAGTAAAAGAGGTTCTCCATGATAGGCATATTCCATCGGAGACAAATGCCAACCTTAGCAACACGGCTGGGTGTGTGTTCACTGTATGTCCGTGAAGAGGAAGCATTTCCCCATTTGTTTCCATGGTCTACACAAAATCTATTCAAAAGCAGTTTAAAATTCAGATGTTTTCCCTGCCTGCCCATGTTGGCCTGTACTGCAACTCTCTGGTCAGGCAGGCTGATTATTCGGGCTCTGGCTGGTGTCAGCCTGAGGCTTAGGGGTTGTAGAATGTGAATTTGGTAGCAAGAAACCTTCTGACATGAAAGGTCTTAAAGAGGAGACAGGGGAAAACCAAGAAGGAAAGAATCTCTTGGGACCCAGCACCTGTGTCTTCCCAAGGCCTTCTGGGACCAGGTTTTCTCCGTGTCCACCTTCCGCCCTGCAGGCCTCCAGCGGCCTGTCAGGGAACTCAGTCGGAGGCACACCGGCCCCCCTTCCCTCTGCCGGACAGACAGGGTCACCTCGCTCACAGGCAGAGTCCAGGAGAAAGCGCCCTCTTCCCAATAACCGTCTCCGCTGCACGCCTACACATTGTTCTGGTAGGAAACCTCCTCTTCTGCCCTCGAATCGACAAGACCAAATTGGAAGTTAAATGAAAGCCTCTTGCCAGGCAAATGGGTTTTCCTGTCTAAAACCTAAAATCTAATCTCCAGATGATTTGTTTTTCATCTTTGCTCGTCTTACCCTGATCCCTGTGGCGGGGAGATGGAATCTTCAGACATTTCCTTCTGTGTGATTGGAACTTAATGACATGTACCTTACAAAGCATCCTGGGCATTAGAGACAGAATGTTGGGAAAGACAGTTTCTCTCTCTGTAGTATGTATGTGGCAGCTTTAGTGGACTGGCCCCAGCCAGTTGTATAACCTTGGTCATGTTTCTTGTATGATCCCTTGGTGCCTCGGTTTCTTCCTCTGTGAAATGGGATGCTGCTAGTACTTACCTCACATGATAATGAGTCTGCATATGTAAATGATTATTTCTGCTCTTTGTGGTGCATCCATAAGGGATAGAACCACCTTAACATAAGCCCGAAGATGTTATCTAATAATTTAAAACAACAACAGGAAGCTTATTATAGATATTTATATACCTACCTTCCTACCCACATATCTCATACATAGATATTTGAAAACAACTTTTTTTTTTACATTCTCTATTATTGTGGGTAAAAACGTGAGCAGTTCCACATTTATTTTGCTGATGACTCCAAAGGACATTTATGCTTTGGCTTTGTATGGTGTCATCAACATCATTTTCAATTAGGTCCTAGAAAGAAATGTAAGAGTTTCAGAGACAGAAAGACAGACAGAGAGAAGCCTCTAGGCTTCCAGATCATGAGAGAGCTCCTAGAAGCCCTGGTTATTTGCTAACACTTCCTAGCCATAAGGGGGATATTCACTACACTTAATTCATTATTTACCATATGCTTCTTAGTGCCTGAAAATAATCATAGACTTTTAATTTCAAAAGTATCAGAGACTATCACATGCTTTTTTGCTATTTTACTTCTTTTCTTCAAAGATATTTTTTTCTTAGAGCGTTTTTACGTGTTTAGTGTCACCATTTATTAAACTAACTGCTCTTGTACCCCAGTCTTATTTATTTAGCTATTTTTAAAATAACATAATACATTCAGGGACTTTCCTCCCCCAAACAAAAGGTAAGACGTGGATGGTCACGTTACCGGCAGGACGAGCAGGCCTCGGTTCTTGTCTTCTTGAAGGAAATATTTCAGTCAAGAGACAAAGCACAGCAAAGCAAGCAAGAATGTATTAACCACAGCAAAAATACTCTCAGGACAGTGAAATGAGGAAGGCACAGAAGAAGCAAGGGAGAGCCTAAGGCTGGGCCTCACAAAGTAGTCAGAGAAAAGGGGGCCTCGGAGACAGGTTTAGGGGGTTAACCCAGGACAAGTGGCCACTGCCCATTGTTCCGCTGGTTACAAGTTTCCTGGGGTCCCTTAGAGTTTAGGGGGTGCCTGTCGGGGAGTGGCATGGCGTGCACCCCTGGTGGAGAGCATGCTGGGTCCTTTTGTGTTGAGGGTATTGATCTCTCTCTTGCAGGTGGGAATCTTAAGGGAGGGTCTCCGTAGAATATTCATCAGCTTTCCAGGTGGGCTCTTTCACAGCCTTTTGGTGGTGGTCTGCCCTCCTTGGTTGGTCTTGTCTGGTTTTGCTGCTTTTCTGGGCCTGGAGCTGAAATACAACTGTTATCTTTTCTTTGGTACATGCCCCTAGCGGGAACCGAACCCAGCACTCTCTGGTTCATAGGCCGACGCGCCAACCACTGAGCCAAACCGGCCAGGGCAATACAACTGTTATCTCTAAGGAGGAAAAGGTCAGAACCCATGACCCTCTAGAGATATGCTAGGGGAAGAAAGGTTACCCTGGTGGTGAGGTTTTGTTTTCATAGTTTTGCTCTTGCTAGGCACCTGGGGCTTTTGGTGACCTTCTGTGCCTGGCCCCTTGTCCTTGCTCTGCCTGTGTCTGTCTAACTGCCTGTCACAGTCATGTACACCTAACACGATTCCAGCCCTGGTTCGACCTCTGCTCTTCTCACCTAAGGCAATCATGTTCCTGAACCCCATGTTCTTTATTTAACTGGCTTTCCTTTGATAGGAAATTATATTTTAATTTTAATTGTTTTTAACATTATTAAAAGATAGCATGCTATGTTACTTTTAGGCCTTCCTTTTTAATTTAATATTATAACGCCAGTATTGTTTTACATTACCAAGTATGGCTGTAATTCATTTATTTTGACAATTGTATAATATTCCATTGTAAGTACATGTATCTCATTTAAGGCTAATAGCAATGTCTGAGGTCCGTACTAGGATCCTGATTTCACAGATATGGAAAGAGACACATGCAGGTCAAGTTTTGTATGTCCAAGGTCACTTACAGTGAGTGACAGAATTAGGTTTTAAATCCAGGGCTGTCTGACTCTAACGCCCATTTTCTGAATTACTATGCAAAATTGATATTTACTGATATTTACTGAATGCCCTTCCAGGCAGGGTGACTCAAAGATAAGAGCAGGACAAAACTAAATGTCATTGTTTCTTTCTGGTGGGTTTATCAGTCACAGTCTTCAGCAGTTTAGCCAGAATTGTAAATAGCTTTAGCTACTGAAGATGTTGGGAGTAGAAAAGATTTGTGTTTTGTGTTACATGTTTGTATTGTATCTGTGTAAAGTTCTTTGCCACGTGTCACATTACAAAAAAAAAAGTTGAAACTTTTCCATCTTTCTTTGAGATTAGAGCTCTGGTGATGTTTCTTTCTGGCCAGAAACTCTAGTCCCTTCTGAAATGTTGACCTTGAGGAGTTTGATCAGATAAGATAAGAGGATCTAACACGATAACACGTCTTGTAAAGGAAGCATTACGCATGTCTGTTGGAATAAATGTCTTTCCTACCCAGAATTTTAAATATTTCTGAGCTGTTTACTCTTTAGTGCTTAGTGTATGATTAATCAAGTGTTCTGTATATTACCACATTCGTTGGAAGAATGAAACCAAATGTTTGTGATACAATAATAATGTAATGTTTATAACCTGTCAAAATCGTAATTGGTAAGCATATGTAGAATAAAAACTTTTTACTTGCTACAGATTCAAAGAACACATACCCTCTGCCTTTCTAAGTGACAAAGCTGCTCAGATAGGAGAGTTACTAAAGAATGTTTGCATGTGGGACATTTTTGTCCTGTTGCACCTCATCTTGAGGGTCCCCAAATGTTCCTGCCACCGTAGGTCACACAGAACGCAGGCTTGATCTACCGGGCTTAGCTCTACAATTCTCCATTCTCTAAAATCTCAGGTTCGTAACAGAGTCGATCCCTCTCTGTAACACCCAGAGTAAAGACAGGTGACCACCCTGCACGCCCAGGAGAGCGGGAGGGGGGTCTGCGGAGAAACAGGCAGACCGGTGCTTGGGCCACACACTCTCCTTCTCGGAGCTTGGTTTGGGGCAACAGAAAGGGTCTGGATCTGAAGTTCCCAGACAAAGAGAAAAAGCGATTGTGGAACGTGTTCTTTTCCATTAAGGCAGGAAGGGTGATAAATGTGGAATCAGACACAAGGCAGAAGTCTACCTGAGACAGGAAAAGTCCAAGCTCAGCCCTGGGAGAGACACGGAGGTGCGCACCTCGGAGCGCCGGGGCGAACATGCAGAATCGTCAGGGAGTGAGCACAGGACAGCAGAGGGGGAGAGCGCGTGGGAGATGGAGCGAGGCTCCTGGCGAGGGGCCCTTGGAGCTGTGTGC